TTACGGTGGAGAGAAGGAGCCTTTTCAGAAAAAGTCATACAAAATTTGATGAACACATTGCTAGGGCCCCTCCCAGGACCCAGGCAGTTGAGGAGCCCTGAAGCTTTAACTTCATTAGCTTCAGTGTAAATCTACTTCTCCTTGTATTCATTCTTTTTCTCGCTCCCCCTCTTTCCCCCCCCCCTTTTTAAAAACCAGAGGGGACACCTGGCTGGCTTAGCGGGTGGAGCATGCAGCTCTTGATCTCGGGGTTGTGAGCTGGAGACCCACTTTGGGGTAGAGATTGCATAAGTAAATAAACTTTAAAACAATTAGGGTATAATTTGCATGCAGTGAAATTCACCATTTCTATTGTGTATTTCTACACACTTTGACAAATGCATATAGGTGTATAACCACTGTCACAATATAAATATAGAACAGTTCCATCACCTCCAAAATTTTCCTTTTTGGAAAAGGTCATCTTTTGTAGTCATCTCCTCCCACCCCAGCCTCTGGCAACTCACCTGTTTTCTATCTTTATGGTTTTATTGTTTCCAGAGTGGCGTAATTGGAGCCATGCAGCATATAGCCTTTTGAACCTGGCTTCTTTCACTTAGGCTAGTGCATCTGAATTTCATCTCTGTCATTGTGTGCATTACTTACTCTGTGCCCAGCCCTGGAGATGCTGAGATGGAGGAGGCCCATCACTATAGACTTTTCCTTTGACACTTAGTATACACAGCTTTGTCCTACTATCTATCTTGTTCTGATATACCTGGCACCCCCACCACTTTGTGATCACCCTGAGGAAAAAATCTCTGATCTTCTTGAGGCATCATATTAGACAGGAAAGAGTAAGGGGTTTGAAGCCAGGCAGACTCCGAATCCAGCTCACCCACTTAGCAGCTCCGTGAACTTGTGTTGGACTCAGAATTTGGCACAGACTGAACTGAGTAAATATCTGTTGACTAAATGAATGAAGGAAGCCTCCTTAAGTCCCAGATCCCTCCTGTGTAAAAGGGAATAATAACAATCTTACCTGACTGCTGGGGGCAGGGGGGCGGGGATCAGTGCCTGGTACAGCGCCTGATGGACATCACTAAAGGTTTGTTCTCCTCTCCTTCCTGAGAGCCCTGTGATACCCTCCTCCATTCATCTATGGTGTTTCTGGTATGTTAAGTCTTTACCTATAGTCTCATTTAATCTGCATAGCAGCTGTTGAAAGTAAGTATTTTGTACCCTCAAGGAAACTGGCTCAGAGTTGTTAAATGCACCCAGAGGGGCACCTGGGTGGCTCAGTCGGTTGAGTGTCAGACTTCCGCTCAGGTCTTGATCTCACGGTTCGTGGGGTCAAGCCCCGCATCGGGCTCTGTGCTGACAGCTAACCCAGAGCGTGGAGCCTGCTTCAGATTCTGTGTCTCCCTCTCTCTGTCCTTCCCCTGCTCACACCGTCTCTATCTCTCTCTCTCAAAAATAAATAAAACATTAAAAAAATTTAGATTCCTCATAAAATTTCTTAAAGAAAGAAAGAAAGAAGGAAAGAAACACGTCCACAGCCCCACAGGTAGTCAGTGATGGAGCTGGATTCAGTTTCAGGTTGGATGCCAAAACTCAGCCTCTAGATTACTTAAGAATAGAAATGTCTACAATTTAGACTTAAAAAAATATCCAGACTGATACTTGAGCAGGATTTGAGTGGGTTGGATTGCCGAGTTTCAAGCTTAACAGCATGAATTGAAAATTTGCAGAATGTTTGTTTCGTTTTGTGCTTTTCTAAATTGGTTTTGGGAGTATTTCTGTAATCCAATCTAAATCAGGGTTTTTATCACACCAATTACAGACAGCTCTAAGTAAGCAATAAAAGCCCCTCTCTCTGTACTAAGAGAGGCGGTGTGGGCCAGACAATGGTTGTGGACTTGGAGGCAGGAGGCCTTGGTTTGCATCTGGTTGGAATGGGAGGCCTTTGGCAGACCCCTGAACCACTGTAAGCCTCAGGTTTTCATTGTTCCGTGGTTTTCATTGTTTCATTTTCATGCGCACTGGGAAAGTAACCCCAATGATCTCAGACAGTTGTGGTGTGGATCAAATGAACAAATAAGCAAACGAGATGTTTGTGCATGAGGGGCATAACCCCAGGAGGAGTTTTTTGTGTGTTAGTTCCAAGTCTGGAGAGGAGGAGGAGCATGGAACACACCGGGAAAGAAAAACTGCGAAGAGAGGGCAGCAGAATCACATGGCCTGGTGCAAAAGACAAGCTTGTTTGTGTTCTGATCTTGGCAGAGGGTGAGGGAGAGAACCTCGTTTGTGTGAAAAGTTTGTGCATTTGGAACCCTGTAGCTACACTGTTACCTGTGTTAATAAGTATATAGCACAGGGCCAGTGTTGAATTGTCTTAGGCAAGAAAGCAGGCAACATTCTCTCTTTCTCTCTCTTTGGTCCTCATTAATTCAGGGATCACAGCAGACTCTGAGCCGCACATTGCAGGCAAGTTAATAAACCAGCAAATCCTGGGCAGTGGAGTCAGATAGACCTGGGTTCGAGTTTGGCCTCCTCCTCTAACTAATGTTAAACTCAGTTACTTGATTTCACTAAATCCCAGGTTCCCCATCTGCAATACAAGGAAAACGATAACACTTGTCTTGTAGGGTTATATAAGATTAAAGTAATAATGCTTATAATGAGGTTTGCACAGTTCTTGGCACAGAATGGGCATTTAATAAGTAAATAGTTGCTTATACATCTTAATCATCTAACTGCCAAGAAGTTGAAATGCACAATGGGTCAGTTCTGCTGTTTTCATAGTTTCTCCTCTATCCTTTTAGAAGGTCACAATGGGTAAGGAGAAGCAGAGGCCCAAAGGTTGGGCCCCATGGCAACCACATTCCAGGTGGTTTACTGTGCCATGAGAACCCTGAGTGCCTAGCCTGAGCAACTCTGCCCAGATAAGCTTGTGGATAGCCACTGTGAGTGACCATGTTCCCTGCAACAGCATGGTAGAGATCAGGCTGGCCCAGTTGTGTTTAGAACCCAGGGCCAGGGTGCATCTTTCAGGGCTAGAGTATTAACAGTCCCTGGAGGTGCATTATGGCTTTTGCAAGTCCTTGTTTCATTACATACGGACCCTCTGCTGTCAGGAAACTATCTCAGAGCTTGGAGACATCAGTTGGCTTTATCCATTTTGGGAGCACACACATACACTTACACTCACACTTAAGAGTGTGAATTTTGTCCACATGCTTTTTTTAAAGGTCTTGTTTATTGAGATATAATTAGTAAAAGTCACTCTTTTTAGTGTGATTTTTCTTTTAATAACGAGTTTGAATTCTAACTTTAGATAAATGTAACCACCACCACAATCAATATGCAGGGTGGTTTCATCATTTCCCTAAATTCCTTTACTCTCCTTTGTAGTCAGTCCCTCCCACCCTTAGTCCCAACAACCACTGAACTATTTTTTTGTCTCTATAAATTTCCCTTTTTCAGAATAACATGTAAATGGAATCCTCCAGCATGTTGACTCCTGAGTCTGACTTCTTTCATATAATGTAATGCATTTGAGACTCCAAGTGCTTTTGATTGCAGCAGGATGAGTGGTTCTGAGATCAGTGTGGAAAATCATTAACATTCATGTATGCCATTAGTAACCAATAGAAAATCTAACTTAAAAATTCACAATACCACTGGGGCACCTGGGTGGCTTAGTCGGTTAGGCGTCCAACTTTCGCTTAGGTCATGATCTCGCGGTTCGTGGGTTTGAGCCCCGTGTCGGGCTCTGTGCTGACTGCCAGCTCAGAGCCTGGAGCCTATTTCAGAGTCTGTATCTCCCTCTCTCTCTGATCCTCCCCTGCTCACGCTGTCTCTCTCTCTCTCCTAGAAATAAATAAAAATATTTTTAAAAAAAATTCACAATACCACTAAAATCCCTGAAGAGCTTAGGAGTAAATAAAACATATCCAAGGTCTTTATGGAAAAATGTATAACATGTCATGAAAAGATGTTAAAGAAAACATGAGTAGATGGAAAAGATAATGTTCAAAAAGAGAAAACATGGTAACATAAAGATGGTGTGCTTCTTCCTGAGTAAATCTACAAGTTCAGGATAGTCGTTATTTTGGGGGGAGAGAGAGTGGAACATATCAGGAAAGAATGTATAGGAAACTTCAAATATATGCCATATATTAAAGTTTTTTCATATTAAAAATTATGGTATACTTATTGGAATGCCAATAGGAACTCAAAAACCAAGGAGCATCCTTCTCTTAGCATAGACAGCAAAAATGGTCTTGGGGATTAATTCTCATAGAGAGTAATAAAAATTGATTCATATGCTTTTAGAAAAAACCTTCAGAGAACAACAAGTAGAAATTATATATTTTTATTTTATTGAGAACAGAAAGCACAAAATGTAATCAATGTAAAATTTAATAGCAGGGCGCCAGGATGGCTCAATCGGTTAAGCTATGGACTTTGGCTCAGGTCATGATCATGCAGTTGGTGAGTTTGAGCCCCACCTTGGGTGCTGTGCTGACAGGTCAGAGCCTGGAGCCTGCTTCAGATTCTGTCTCTGTCTCTCTCTCTCAAAAAATGAATAAATATTAAAAATATTTGATAGCCTTTTGATGTGCAAAAGAAACACTGTACCTTCATGATTTGGAAGACCTTTTGTGCAAATCCATTTTTTTGGATATGGGACACCGCTTTTAAAATGTATAAAATATAACATTCACATACAAAAAAGTGCATAGAACATACATGTACAGTTTCATATACATTTGTAATTGCAAAGCAGAACTCTGCATAACTACTGCCCAGGTCCAGAAATCCAGCATTCCAGAAGCCTGTGTGTGGTATACTATTCCTTAAATTCAATTTGTTTTATCATAATATGAACAACCATACAGTGGGCCTGTTATGTTTCTTACATTAAAAAATTAATTTTAAAAAGAAACATTCTTACCGTTGATTTTTAAAAATTTTCAACATAATTTGGGATTGGGAAATGTTAGTCCAACACTAGGATGTCTGAGAGGACTATAGAAAATACTGTTTTGTGGTTTGGAGAAGTCTTGGCCAAGGTTAGCAACCACCTGTCCCACAGCTTGTACTTGAGCTCCAGGCCGGCGGCTGCTCTCCTGCAGGCATCGGGAATGGTAAGCGCTCCTCCTTGGTAACTGTAAATGGCATCATAGTTATGGCTTATTCATGTGAGCAATATCTCTGTTCTCTTGGCCAGAGCTCCAGGAAGTTGATAAGTAGCTTCAGAGTTGTGTTTTCCCTGACCCTGACCAATGGAATAGGTATGTGGTCTTGGCCACTTTGGGTAGCCCCTTTCTATCTGAGCATCTGCTGTCTTGCCTGGGATGCTGGGCTCCCCCCCTCACCCCCAATCTGGGCATTAAAAACAAAACGAAACAAAACAAACAAAACTCGGGGCAGATTGTCCTTGACGACTGAGTGAAGAATCCATGGCAAAGGACTAGGAAACAGCACACTGGACCAGGGTTTCTCCACTTTGGCCCTTTTGACTTTTTGGACTGGATAATTATTTGTTGGAGGGGAGGGGTATCCTTTGCATTGTAGCATCCCTGGCTTCCACCCACTAGATGCCAGTAGCACTCTCTCACTGTGACAACCAGAGTGTTTCCAGACATTGTCCAGATGTCTGGGGAAACTAAATCACCTCTGGTAGGGAAACATTGCCTTAGGAGATGAGACTCATGGTCCCTTCTAGATACTACAGCTGTGGAAGTGGTGAGGGAGGCAGCCCCTGGATGAAGGCCCTTAACTTAGAGCAAGAGAAAGAATGAAAGGCAGAGATAGGAGAAATGAGTCAGGCAGATAAATGGAGCCAGTCAGTTAAGGGTAGAGGCTTCAGGGTAGCAGTAAATGACAGCTGCGAGAAGGCAGGGTAGGTGCAGGGCTCTGAGGCTGTGGGGCGCAGTGTGAGGTCATAACAGGAAGGAGGGAGTTAGCCAGAGCCTGGTCTCCTCTCCAGAGGGAGGCGCTCAAGCCCCCCACCTTCCCTCTGCTGAGGCCAGCCTTGAGCACCTGAGGACTTTAAATCCTCCTAAGTATTTTACTGCTTTGCTCCTGACCTTGTGGGGAGAGTTATATAAATCTGTCAAGTGGGTTAAGCTCCTTGGAAAGAGACTGCAATTCTTTGATCTTTATTCACTCAACAGACATTTATCAAGTACCCATTTGGGCAAGGGCTGCGCCAGACAGTAAGAACCCCACTAATCAGAACTGCGTGGTCTGGCTGGGGAGACGACCCAGCCAGCACAGGCAAGCCTGGTAGAAGAAATAAGGCAGGCCCCATTGTCAGGCTGCCCGGGCCCGCATCCCACCTCTGCTCCTGGCTGTTCCATCTCCCTAAGGAGACAAGCGTCCTTGTCTTTAAAATGGAGTAGTGAGAATTCTTGACCCAAACGGGTGTTGAGAGGATGAAGTGAGAGAATGTGTACAGCCTGTAGAGCAGCACCTGGCATTAATATTAATTATATTAATATCATTACTGTTAATGATTTATCAGTATTATTATTCTGTTACAGCATAGAGGCTATAATAGAGCGCCAAGAAGACTCTGAGAGACAGGTAACCAAAGATACACAGAAGAAGTGGCTTTTTTGAGATGGGTCTTAAAGGATTAGTTGGACTTTATCAGGAAAAGAGGTGTGGAGTTGTGAAAAGGTCACGCACTGAGATGCGGGCAGCAAGGCACAGACTGGGAACAAGTGAGCATACAGCTGCTGGCTGTGATGTCCGTCCGGAGGCTGAGGCTGGGGAGGAAGCCGGGTGGGGGGGTTGTGCTGGAGAAGGGACTTGATCTGAATGGACATTAAGTGCCAAAACCCTTTGGCTTGGATCTGCTTTGCTTGTTATTTCTTTTCTCCAGAACAGATTTGGGAGAGGTTGCCATTTTTAAAATAATTTTTTAAAAATTTATGTATTTATTTTAAGAGAGAGGGAAAGCAAGTGAAGGGAAGGGCAGAGAGAGAGAGGGAGAGAGGATCCTAAGCAGGCTCTGTGCTGACAGCCAACACAGGGCTCAAACTCACGAACCGTGAGATTATGACCTCAGCCAAAATCGAGTTGGATGCTTAACCCACTGAGCCACCCAGGCATCTCAGAACTTGCTGTTTTAATCCCATTCCCCTTTCCCTGATCAGTGAAGTGCTGGATGTGTTCCCTTACCTGCCGGCATAATTGAGCTTTTAGAGGTTGAAAAACAAATTTGTCTTGTGGTCCCTGTGCCATCAAACATGGGGTGGGGTGGTGTCCAGGGGAACACTGTCCACCACGTCACATCAGGGGTCCAGCAGGCAGAGCACAGCCTATCTTGTCTGGGCACCCTTGAGGCTTTCTGTTTCTGTGACCACTCAGATGGTGTCAGTGTCGCGCTCTACTTGCTGGGGTTCACAGAAGAGCAAATCAGTCACCTGGCCCTGGGTCAGGATGCATTTTCCACCTCTGTCTTTTCTGCAGCTCACACACTGCCTCAAGGCTGGAAACCATCCTGGCAGATGTGGCTAATAACCAGGGCATCTGTGCCAAAGGAGTCGTGTGTTTATTTCTCCGGAACCCATGGCTCTGTGCCCGAGGCTTTGCTGAATCAGCCTGGTGCCGTCTGGCTTTCCCCCTGATGCTGAGACCTCAATCCCAAGGTCACGAGTGTCCCCTGGATGGCTCTGGCTTTCACTTCGCCACTCTCTGAAACTTCACACAGTGAATACGTACTTACTGAGCACCTGCCAGGCCCGGGGGGCGCATTATGAATGAGACAGATACCATCCTGGGTGTGGGGAAGCATGAGTCTTTTAGGGGAGACAGACATTGAACAAACCATTACAGGTGGTTTGGATAAGGGCTAAGAAAGGTGAACATCCGGAGTTCTGACAGCAGGGAACAGGGAAAGGAACCTAATCTTGGGTGTGGGGTATGGTGACAAGGTCAAGAAAGACCCCACAAGAAAGTAAGACTCCCTGACATCTGAGAATGCTTGGAGGGGGTTGGCTGGGGAGACCTCCCTCACCAAGCTGGCTCATGACTGAACCCAGTGGGCTCCCCCAAGAGATGTCCCCCTTGGCCTGCCCAGTGCCTTTGACACTGCTACCTTCTTTCCTTTCCTCCCATCCCAGTCCTTCATTTTCCCCTTCCTTTCAGACTACCCTTTCATCCCCTTTGCTGGCTTCCCTTGCTCCCCACACATAATTCTGCCTTCCAAGAGATGGCCCAGCTCTCCAAAGCAGTAGGCAGTGGTGGTGAGAAGCCAGGTTTGGAGGAGGCCAACCTGGCTGGATCCTAGCCCCTGATTTACTCCTGATGGTCCCACAACCTGAGACAAGCAAGTGACTGCCTGCTCCATGTTGGTATTCAGTCTATAAAAGAGGTGGGCTTTTTTGTTTTTGTTTTGTTTTTTAAATCAAGGCAGTCTGAGGCCTGAGGTGATGCCGATAAAGCACCTAGTGCAAGGCCCTTGTGAGTCAAGGTTACAAAACCCTTTCTCTTTTAGCATCAGAAATGGACTCAGTTCCACTCACTTTCCATTTTTCCCCAGAAACCTGATGAATGTCAAATATCAAGGTCTTACCTGGCCACATAGCTTATGGTAAAACTGACCCCTGCTTGGTACGTTGAATCTGGACTGGAATTTCTTTGTATGGACTCTAAATATATGATGAGGAAGCTATGGCTTTGGGCTTCCTGAGTGTGGTGTCTCCTCACAGGGACCCTAGAAGCTCTATCTGGGGGTTGTTAGAGAAGATGTTGGCTCCTGTGGGGCCTGGGACAGAGTGCCTCTGTTCCCAATTAGCTTACACCTGAATTGACACTTGGAGGTGACCGCGTCTGCCAGATGAAAGGATCAAACTCAGCGCTACCGTTCCATCCATTCATTCATTTGAAAATATCCATTGAGAGCCATTGAAGTGCAGCGAACACATTGTTGAACAAAACAGATTCACTGTGTGGTCTGCAGGCACTTATAGTTCGACTGGGAGATGTTGTCGAAGGGTCACAAATTGTAGGAAAAGAGCATTTTGATGTTGTGTCCATCATGTAGTAGATTTGACCTAGTCGATAAGGCCAGATGTCTTCCATGAGGAAGTCATGATGGAGCTGGGATCTGATGTATGAACACCATTAACCAGCAAAGAGGGGAAAGGGAAGATTCCAGAAAGCGACAATAGCACAGGCAAAGGCTTTGAGTGGGGGATGGTGCAAGGTGGAGAGAATGAGAGCCGGTGGAGCTGTGCTGTGCAGGTCCTCGGGCAGGGGTGAGAGTCAAATTGTTTAATGGCCCCCTGCAGCCCTGGGCATGGATCAGTAGGAGCTGATACCCAAGCAGTTGTGCTGGTCTCATTTCTCCTTCTTCTTAAGAGAAGTGAGAAGCAGGTTAATGCAGGGTGGGATGTGTGTATCGGGAAAGAGGAGGCTTGATTTGAAAAGACTGATTTTAGCTGCAGGATGCGGGAATCAAGTGTGAGGGGAGTGAAATTTGAAGTAACTTTAAATGAAAAGATTTTTTTGGAGAAGGAAGCCCAAGGTGTGGGTGAGCTTTATAGAACATCAGTGGGGCTTAGCAGGAGAGGAAAGTTTGACCTTTAATTTAAGGGGTTGTGGCTGCTCACCTTGACTTCCCACCCCCACTCTCACCCCCAATTTTGGCCTCCATAACCCTGGATCACTCTTTTATGTTGCCAGATCACAGACTGAAGGGAGGTGGGTGTGCAGCTGTAACAGAAGACAGAAGTTCCTAAGCTCACCCCAGCTAGGGGAAGGAACCTTTAGGGCATTCATAAAACTAGATCAAGCCTCACAGCAGCATTTTCTGGAGCATGGAGAACTGTTTTTGGCATTGTGGACAGACCTTTTCCGTCAAAGAGGATGAATGAAAATGACATTTCTCTTTTTTTTCTCTCTCTCTCTCTTCCCTCCAGGCTTATATTTGGCACCCTTTACCCTGCATATTATTCCTACAAGGCTGTGAAGTCGAAGGACATTAAAGAATATGTAAGTAGCGCTTATTATTGGCGGGGGCCTGATGGTTGTGGGGAAGCTGGGTGTGAAGCATGGGGAGAAGCAGGGTGGCCTCCTTGATGCGGGCACTGAGAAGGGAAGCAGAATACTTACAGGTCAGAGGACCGTATTATTGCTGGGTGGCACCTCTAGGCAGGAGAATCGTCAAACCACCCCTGATCCACAAAGCCCTACATGGGGTGGGTGATGAGGAAAGGGTACCCCATTCCACGGTAGCACAGAAGCCCAGGGCAAAGTACAAAGGATGTGGACTTGGGCATCAAGAGTCTGAAGTCCTGGTGCTGCCATCTGATTAATGCAGTGCAGAACAGGAAGCCTGACTTCCCAGAGCCTTGGTTTCCTAATCGGAGGGATGGATGTCAACAATCCCGGGCCCTAGTGTTGGGAGAGACAATGAGTCTTTGTTCTACCTCTTTTACTCAGATGTCATTTTGGAAATGTGGCACAGGTAAAGAAATAAAGCGTATTTGAAAGTCACTTTCTTTCTCAGATTTTCCAGGATGACCTTGTGATGAAATCAGCACCTCCAGATCAACTGCAACCAGGACTCACCCCCCTCCCCTGCCCACCCCGCCTTGTTCCCTCAGTTTCCCAGAACTGCTTGCCTGGGCTTGGATCTGCTACAAAGCAGGGGGTCCAGATAGGGGTGTGTTCTCTGGAGACTGGGTCCCTGGTAAATTTGAGGGAGTCTTGGAGTGTGAACTATAAATAGTAGGTTAAAAGCACAGAACCTTATGATTCAGGATTGGCTTGGCATAGGCATAAAACATGAGGTAGCCTTTCCCAAGGTGTCTCTTTGTCTCTGTCTCTCTTTCTGTCTCTCTCTCTCTCGACCCCTTTCAGCCTAGGATGCAGGGAAGCTGTGCTGGGTAAGGAGGCATAATCAGGGTCACCGTGGTTCAGGGTCTGATCCTCTACTTTGGGTTCAGGGTCTGATCCTCTACTTTGCAGGGGCAGAAACTCAATTCTGTCAGCTCATCTGGGAGAGATCAGATGCTGGTAAATTGTTTTTGCTCTGACCAAACTCACAGGAGCCTGGTTTATGACTAAAATGGCAATTCATTAATTTGGAGTGAAAAATATCACCAACGAGCAGAGCAGCTGTTTGTGTTGGCTGGTAAGCACGAGCTTTTCCCAGTAGGGAAAGCTTGGGAGTTAAGATTAGAAGGTTTCTTGGTAAAAATGGAATCGAAAGAGAGGGGCCGAGTAGTATGAGGAGACACTTGCCTGCTTTCCCTGCACTCGTTCACACGCTCTCACACTCTCACTCCCTCTCACTTGCTCTCACGTGTACTCTCACACACACTTACATGCTCCCCAACGTGTTCCCGCACTCTCATGTGCTCTCACACGCGCTCTCACGTGCTCTCAAACATGTTCTCTCACTCTTACACACCCATGCACACCTCTTACCCCCCCACACTCTCGCATGCTCTCTCACACACGCTTTCACAATTCTCACACACTGTCACACATGTTCTCTCACTCAACGCCCCCACACACTTCTCACACCCCTCACTTTTGCATGCACTCTCACACATAGTTTCATATGCTTTCACACATGCTCATGTGCTCTCACACTCACACACACTCACACACCCATAAACACTCTCACAAGCTCTCTTGTGCTCCCACACACTCTCACTCACACACTCACATGCTCTTTCACACACATTCTCACACAATCTCTCACTCACACACTCCCTCACATGTTCTCTCACACACCCACACACATCTCCCACACACATCTCCCACACCCGACACATGCACTCACACACTCACTCTCACACTCACACATACACATGCTCCCCAACATGTTCTTGCACTCTCATGTACTCTTACTCTGTCACACGTTCTCTCGCTTACACCCCATACACACTCACACACACTCTCACACTCTCACATACACACTTATACGCTCTGTCTCACTCACTCTCACACTTGCTCTCACATGCACCCTCACACACATTCACACTCACCATTGCACTCACCTCTTTTCTTCCTTTTGACCACTAAGCCCAATTTGTCCAAGAAAAAAACCTGGAATTGCCTTCAACTTCCACTTCCCCCTCACCACCCAAACCTGTACACATATCTTCTTCTCTATCCCCCTAATGATCCTTCAGCCAGGTCTCTCCTCCTGTACTGCCACTCTCTTAAATGTGGTTCTCTTCGTCTTCCCTGGGATGTTACAATAGCCTACTGTACTAGTTTTTTATTGCCACTGTAACAAATTACCATGAACTTAGAGCCTTAAACCAACATAAAGGTATTGTCTCCCAGTTCTAGAGGTCAGAAGTGTCATAGGTTAAATCAAGCAGGGCTACCTTCCTTCTGGAGACTCTAGGGGAGAATCCATTTCCTTGTCTTTTCCAGTTCCTAGAAGCTGGATGTGTTCCTTGGCTCGTGCCCGTGCCCCCATCTTCAGAGCCTGCGAGTAGCATCTCTGAGTGTTCTTCCATAGTCACATCTCACGGAGATGACAGCCTCTTGGTGCCAGCCAACCTCACGTCACAGGAAAGGCTCTGGGTAGGAAGCTGCTGCCAATGTCACCACCTGGGACACTGGCTGCCAGCTCTCTGTACCTTTGGAACATTCCCTGAAGATTCAAAATCCTAAATGCAAGTGTTTGATTTTTCTAAGCCTATGTAACAGGCCTTGCCTCCCACGAACATCCTCGTACTGGGAAACTCTCCCCAAATTAGAAGGCATTGGATGTAGGTAGAAAAAACAAATGTATATCTCCATGTCAGTTACCTCTTTGGCTGCTCAACACCCACATTCACTCCTTTGCCCATAGTTTGGCTTAAAAAAAGCTTTCCAACAAGAATTCTATCTAATTTATGTATTTGGCAAATCCAGATTTTTTTTTTTTACCTGAGTCCATCACCAGATCCAATATTTCTGGCAAAGTCCTCTCCTCCTCGGCCTCTGACCCTAGTGTGAAGCACTCTAAAAATGGATGGTTCACTGACATAGCCCACATACTATATTAGGGAGAGAAAGAGAATACATAAAAATAAAACTAGTTAAAATATTTAAGTCTATACATAACACAGAAAGGAAGAAAATATGGATAGAGGCTGTAGTCCTTAGTCATGGAAGTAGTCATGAGTTCATAGCTGGTACTTCTGTATTTTGCTAAAAGATAATTTTTAAAGGGCAAGTTCATGCTCTTGTACAAAATAAAGTTGACACATGTTGAAAGTTTTACTTAACTCATTAATTAATAAGGGAACCAGTAAGGTGTTAAAAAAAACAAAAAACAGTTCAAAGGAGACTCCAAAGAACAGATGAATATAAGCAGTCAGGAATGATTAAATGAATTTGTTAATAGATATTTAGCTGATTTGTGGGGAATAGTTTACCTCTGTGGACAAAATCATTTGCATTACCGTCAGTTTTATATAACTTACAACGTTTTAAATTTAAAAAGATTGTTTTATGTTTATTTTTGATAGAGAGAGAGAGAGAGACACAGAGTGTGAGTGGGGCAGGGGCAGAGAGAGGGAGACACAGAATTTGAAGCAAGTTCCAGGCTCTGAGTTGTCAGCACAAAGCCCAATGCAGGGCTCAAATCCACAAACTGTGAGATCACAACCTGAGCTGAAGTCAGACACTTAACCAACTGAGCCACCCAGGTGTCCCTATAACATTTTAACATAGTTCAAAGATACTGAAAAACAAGACATGTGTAGAATCAAGATAATTCAAAAGGTGCTGTGGATAGCATCTAGCATTCTACAGAACACCCATTCCAAAATCTTTCACAGTTTTTCCTATTACTTCCCTTTTCTACCATTTAATTCATGTACCCTTTGTCTTTAGTTAGAGCATTAGTAGGTGGGGTTCCTTATCCAAGGGTGCAGCCTAAATCTTCATTCTTGGAGAATCTGAGGCCTCAGTAATCTTGCCTCTATAAGGTTGTGGTGATGATCCACTGACATTTACCCCTGAACAAGGCTGTACTCGCTTACATGAGTGATCACACTCAGATTCCCCCAGAGGATCCTTAACTCCCATGCACCCTCCTTCCTGCCATATTGTTTAGCGGCAACTCTGGTTCCCCTTGATAATCAGGATCAGTCACCCATCAAAGCCCATGAGTCCCTTTACTGTCTGTTTCCTAGGGGCATCGCCGACCTGAAATGGCCAGGTAACAGTATTGTTTCTGCTTTCACTTCATTGGAATCATTTGGTATCCTCAGTGAAAGCAGCCATCCCTCAGTTTCTGTAAGATTTAAGAAGCAGATCTCAGAGGTTTAAGGGCGAAAAGCAAAAATATTGTGAATCCATTAGACCCGTGATTCTCAAAGTTCAATGTGCATATAGAATGAACAGAGGGTTTTACTAAAACGCAGATGCTGATCCGTTAGGTCTGGGGTGTCCTGAGATTCTGTATCTCTATTAAGCTCGTATGTGATGCCACTGGTGCTGGTCCATGAGCCACAAATTGAGCTGCAAGGAGCTGGCAATAGTCTCAATCATAAGAAACACCACTCTCATTTCCTTGGTCCCTGAACCTTTAGAATGAGGCTAAGCTTCAGAAGAATGTGTGGGTTAGTAGTTCATGGAAGAAACTGCATCTTCCTGGGCAGCGCGTCAACCACACAGAATGCTCACTCCCACCTGGTTCTCTTCCTGAACTCTCTTCCTGTTGCCACACAAGTTAAGGCCAGCTGCCTCAGAGCAATGGGGGGCGGGACGGGAGATGCATGCTAAGCTCAGAGACTTCCAAAACATCACCCTATTAACAGTCTTGGAGTTTGCTCTAAAAGGCCCTTGGTTACAAGGAGTTTTGGGTGGCATGCATTAAAATGAAAAGGATGCAGAGTCCACAACTTACTCCATGGCTGCCAGAAACATGGCAGGGAGAAAAGCAAGTCCACATGCAGAGTAAGTGAGAGTTCCAGAAAAGGACTCTGCTGCCTTTTCTGTGAGGGAAGATGCCTGTATGATGAGCCTGCTCCCAG